CGTTACATACTTTTTCACAAAACCATTATACCCTGATTTCCCATTTTCAATGGGTTCAGGGTATAATTAATTAACAAAGTTTTTGCCAATTCAATAGCGCTGAATGATTTATGTTTATATATTTATATATATATTTGCTTATTAGTGTCACAATTAAACTTGCAAACATTTCTTCATTTCATTTTCTTCTTAATAATTATATCATATATAAAGATTTAACTTTGGATATTCGGTTACCGTATATAAATAGAAAATATTATATATACACAATTGATTTCTCCCTTTCTCCCTTTCAATCGCAGATCAACAAATATCCACGCTTCTCTATCGCGACCTGCAGTACACGTTTTTCAACTTCTTGGAGGACATGCTGAGTGAGTGCGATTTGAATCCAAAGCTGGGAACTGTGCCCGTGCACTGGGCGCAGCCCATCTACGGCGATCGGAATCCGAATTTCACGGACTTTGCGGCCCCGGGCGTCATACTGACCATCATATTCTTTCTGTCGGTGGCCATCACATCGGGCGCGATGTTAATTGAACGCAACGAGGGCATGCTGGAGCGTTGCCTGGTGGCTGGCATAACGGGACCAGAGATTTTGCTGTCGCAGGTTGTCACGCAGTTCACGGTGATGCTCAGTCAGACGGTGTTCGTGCTCATTGTCAGCTTCTACTTCTTTGAGCTGACGCTGGTGGGCGACATCTGGCTGGTGGTGGCACTGTGCATACTCAACGGACTCTGCGGCATGAGCTTTGGCTTTGTCATCGCCTGCGCCGTGGACACGGAGCGCACGGCCACCTACGTGGCGATGGGCTCGTTCCTGCCCATTGTGATGCTGTGCGGMATTATTTGGCCCATCGAGGGCATGTATCCGCTGCTTCAGTTTGTGACCGCCTTCCTGCCGCTGACAAAGCCCACGGAGTCGATGCGCTCGATACTGCAGCGCGGCTGGGGCATGGACAATCCCGCTGTCTACAATGGCTTCATTTCCATYTCGTCGTGGGTGCTCGTCTTCCTGGTGCTCACCATTTTGCTGCTCAAGTTCAAGAAGGGCTAGAGTCGGCAGCGCCCCGTGCGATTGCCCATGATTTTACTAGGTCGTAAGGGTAGCTCTTAGTCGTCCAT